CATGAGTCAATTGAAGCTAGACCACTGTGGAAAACCTGGAAGCACTGGACGGCCGTTTCGTCCTACTATGGGACTCCTCAGAAGTGCGCATCCACGGACCCGCTCTCGCGAGTTTCGAACCCAGGACCTACCAGTCTCGAGTCAGAGCCCTTAACCGATAGACCACTGAGCTGGCACCCAATGGCGTTAATGTCTAACCTCAACCAATCCACGAGAGCGGGTTCGTGGATGCGCACTGCTGAGGAGTCCCATATTAGGACTAAACGGCCGTCCAGTGCTTCCAGGTTTTCCACGGTGGTCTAGCTTCAATTGACTCATGATCTTAACTAATTTATCTGTTTGCGAAACTCCCTTTTCTGGTTGCAAACGAATTTGACCACATGATAGAGTTAGGAATCATTCGACCGTCAAAGTGTCCTTGGGCATTTCCTTTGCACATGGTCCCTAAAATGGACTGCAACGATTGACGCCCAACTGGTGACTACCAGCGTTTCAATGCCAAAAACCTTAGATTTCCTAGGACACACTATTGATGCTCATGGCGTCCGACCCCTTGGAAGCAAAGTGGCGGCCATTCTGGATTACCCAGAACCGATCACCATTAAGCAGTTGCGCACATTTAACGGCCTTGTAAGTTTCTATAGACAGTTCAAACCTGTTACGTCCAATTGTGAGTTTTTGTCCGTTCCAACTATTGAAGTACTGGCCGTCGATATTCGCAAATCACGAACCCAATTAGGCAAGAGAACCAAAACTCCGAATTAGATACCAAGTTTATTCGCAATTCATAAATAATCCACCAAAGTCGTTCTAATGACAATAATTATAACAATTACAAAACAAACCTTCAATTTTGTAGTTTCCCGGAGAAAAAACTCCCAAATACCGAACCAATGACTAAAGAAACCAAAATTTCCGAAAAGAATGATATAAACAGACAAGTCCAAAGGTTAAGTAAAACAAACACATCCAAAAACACAGTAAAATTGATGTACAGTAAAAAACGTTTTAATCAGCCAAATGTTGTCAGTTCTCCTGTAACAAAACCGAAATGCCCATCCCTTATGAAACCAACTTCGCGGAAATGCGAAATCAATTAATCTGTATGACACCGCGTGAAAAGTATTGTCTATAATTGGGGAACTTATCGCAAAGAAAACCATGCTAGCACATCAGGACACTCAAGCACCCATCAGTATCGCAGTAGACGCATCCGAATCAGCAATCGGAGGAGTCTTACAATAATGGGTTAACCACTCTTGGCAACCTTTAGGATCTTTCTCAATAAGGTTGCTAGACCCTGAATCTAGGTACAGCACGTTCGGTAGGGAACTCCTAGCTATGTATTGTGCTGTACGGCATTTCCAACATTCCATCGAAAGAAGAGAATTCACGCTTTTTACCAATCATAAACCTCTTACCTTCTCTTTAAGTTCATCTTCAGACAAGTACTCACTTCGAGAGTTTTGAAAACTGGACTACATTTCGCAGTTTACTTCAGATATACAACACATTTATGGAGCAAACAATGTAGTTGCAGACGCTTTGTCTCGTGTAATTTCCTTGAACAGTTTCCAAGGAATCGACCTTCTTAAACTCACCCAGCTTCAAAAAGAAGACACTGATCTTCAGCGCGAGTCATCCTCGACAACTCTGAAAATGCGTATTAAGCGGATGAGAACAGTTAAGGAAACCACACTATGTGACGCATCTACAGGTAGGGTTCACCCAATCGTAACAAAACATTATTGACGCAACGTCTTCAATACGTTGTACAATCTTTCTCATCCAGGTGTTCGTGCATCCATCAAACTCATAGCCGAACGGTTTTGCTGGCTTGGTATGGATAAAGACGTGAGGGGGTGGGCACGCTACTGTGTAAGTTGCCAGAAATTCAAGGCCATCAGACACAACAAATGTCCCTTGAGTTCTTTCGAAACCCCCGATGCACGTTTTGACCATGTTCATCTAGATTTGGTAGGACCCTTACCCGATTCAAACGGATACTCATATCTCTTAACATGCGTAGACCGTTTCACTTTTCCGTTGTCTGACTACGCTTTTAGGAATCACACGATTCCGAACGACTGCCTGCCACCCATAAACAAATGGATTGGTAGAACGCTTTCGCTGACAACTAAAAGCTTCGTTGTCAGCTGCAAATGTTTCACAGTAGACCGACGGTTTTTCACTCGTCTTACTAGGTATTCGCAATGCAGTGAAAGCTGACATTGGATACACTGCAGTTCAACACTCCAACTTCCAAAAGAATTCGTGGCTCCTTCATCTTCTTCAACTAACATGGATCTAAACTCCTACACGATCAGAATTGCATGCTCAATACGTTCAGTTAAACCTGTTTCCACTAGACTACAATCAACTGATGTTTTCGTTCAACCTGACTTACCATATAGTACGCACTTCTTCGCACGTCGAGACTCTCATGGACGACCCTTGGAATAAGCATACGAAGGACCCTTCAAAGTTCTTCAACGTGAACCTAAGTACTATGTAGTCGATAAGACGGCACTAACGATAACATCAGCATGAATCAAATCAAAGCAGCGTATTTATAAGGAAATCCTATCCACACTGATTTCCTTCGGTACATTCGAACGACACGACTCCTACACTTCCGATACCGCATCCGATAGCCATCACTCACGATGATACTTTACAGTATCTGAAAATATACTCCAAACAACCCGTTTTGGAAAGAGAGTAAGGTGTCCAAGATATTTAAACGATTGTTTCACTTTAGACACTGATTGACGTTTTGTTGTATCTCGATTTTTTGCATTATATAAAATATTAAAAAAAACAATTTCAATATACCTATATTTATATATTTATCCCAAAAAACAAAAGAATTTTGGTTCGTTAATATATGCATATTAAAAACTTTTAAAAAAGCGGAAAAAAGCCCTTCTTTAAAAATCATTTTTACGCTATCGCATATGTATCAGTTTATTTTCCTTTCGCCCGCTTGGCGTCTCTATGCTCGTACGTGTGTGATTCGACATACACTTACATATTCATTTTTGCTTTCTAGGATGGCTGGAAAAGACGAAGAAAGAACGGTGAATTTCACGATGAACCGAAATTTTCATTGTATCTTATTTCTTTAGTATTGTACCGAATGGCTTCTTACAGCAAGAAAGGACGACCAGACGCTGCGGAACATAGCAAGCTGCCAGAAGAGTGTTTACCAACGAGAAAATTGTTGGGTTTAAACTCCTCGCTGGCCACGTCTGTAAAAGTAAATAAATCCCCAAAATCACTAGCTCTGTAAGTGTTCGACATTGTATGCTGACCATAGTAGTATTAATGGACTCCTCTAGCTAAAGGCGTTCGGTCATGCATCCGCACAAGATTTCGAGTGGGAACACCGTGTTTAATATACCCTGCGATCACTAGCCAGATTAGATCAGTCACTCCTTAATATATATTGATAATATATAATACAAATCTTCCAACCTCTTCGCTTCTGACTTTTGATTTCACTAGGTGGTTAAGATTAATGGTAGAAGGTGTTACTGGTAAAGTGTTGTCAAACTCTAAATACCTGTGGAATCTTCATCTGCATAAGATAGGCCATAGTGGCCTTTTAACATTTAACTCTCTTACCTTTGAACTCATTCTAGCATATCTACCCCATGCTCGAAACAAGAACTCGCTGATCCAATCCCATATTTCGCGTGTCTCCTCATAAAAGTAGTGTATAAAACCCTAAACATTTTTCGTCCAAGTACTGAAACGACTAAGGAATAGTCCATAAAACCCTGAAGGCCTTGGAAGCGGTAGCTTGCAGTTACTTTTAGCTTCAATGCTACCACTCATTATAACTCCTTAATCTTCATAGTTTATTACTTAGGGAAACACAGCTCTACATATTGTCTGATGATATGAATCGTTGCGGTTATTACTCGAACCCTCACACACTTGTTAGAGTTAACTTTTAATGTCAGTCTAGAGAATAGCTTAAAGTTGCACCTGTAGGAAATTGCTTCATACAATGCATGACCAAGCGCATGCAGCTAGGTGAACCCATTAATACTACTTTGGTCAGCACTCAATGTTGAACACTTACAGAACTATTTATTTTGGGGATTTATTTACCGTTACATATTATTCTATCTGATATATTATGTATGGGTTTCCAAATCTTCACGTCATTCGCAAGGAGCAGAATAGATGACTTTACTTCAGTTGATAAGTCATTTGCATAAAGTAAAAATGGAGAGGATCGAGGATCCCACCTCGAGGAACTCCACATTTTACAAATTCAGACGTTGGTAGAGCCCCATTTACTTGTACCTGTTGTCTGCTCTCAGTGAGAATGTCATTTATTCAGTCTACGACTTCACAACGGATATCAAAACTTCCCAGCCTTGATTGGAGACTCAGATGAGAGACCTTATCAAAAGCCTTACTTATGTATATATGGACATTACATCTAAAATAATATTTCTATCTTTCGGTTCATCACAACCTCTTGCAATGAGCAGATCTGTCAAGCATGACGGGCATTTCCAAAAGCCGTGATGTTTCCCGAACAAAAGTTTATGCCCTTCCATACAGTTCGAAATGTCCATATGAATTGTATTTTCCACTATTTTAACGACCACACTGGTTAGATCAAATGAACGATAGTTACTAAGTCTCTACTCCACGTCTTATACACAGGACTGATTATCACGTCCTTATCGGTAACCAAGGCAGTCCACCTGAATGAAAAATAAAAGTTTCATTGACGAAATTTTTCAAGTAAACACTCGGTCCTAATGGGAAACATGTCACTAGGATTAACACTAGTCGGCCTACCGTCCTTACAACAGAAAAGCAGTATATACTTATGTTAAGAACTACCAAACTAGGTTCCAGTGTCAAATCTGGAACAAGCGAAAAATAAACGATATGGCTTTTGTTCTCTTAATTCAAAATGGTAATTCATAAAGGTTTACTTATTATGCACCACTTCACCACTCTCATATTTGACTGTGACCTAGGATTAAGGGGCGCTTGGTACAAAGTCCTGTTCGTAAAGCGGTATGTAGTTTTGATTTTACTTATCCTCAACTGTAGTTATGATTTTTTGCTATGTTAGTGCTTTTTGTTGGTATAACTATTCCATTTTAAGTACTTAGTGGCTGGCTTTTCCGATAAGAGATCGTACTTGTCATAAATTTTCTTGTATTATCATTTTGAGCTATCAAAGGCTGCATGGATTTTCTGGGAATAAGTAAATGTACTATTTTAGAATCACAAAGAAAATAAATTCCATGGTAGCTCTCGCATTTTGATGCGCGCTTGAAAAATGCTAATTCGTGTCAACTTGTCACGTAGCATACTCTCTTAAAGTTGATGAATCAGCTTACAGTCATTGACCTGCTCAATTCGTATTGTTCATCAGAATATTGAGTGCATGGCAATATTAGTCCTTCATTAATATTTAACTGTTCGCTTCAGGACATGAAAATGGGTTTGGATTCATGTACATTTATGCGTTTAAGGACTATTTGTTAGCAACATATTTGTAGTCCCATTGCTGTGGCTTTCAAAAATCTGAGTTTCATTTTCCCTAACTCTTATCTTCCGGTGACTTTTCTAAAACCGTGAATAGGTGAAATTTAAGACGGCGGCTAGGTGTATATTTCAAAGTAACAACATGAGCAGCGTTTCTCTAATGTCTGGGAACACTGACCCACTTATGCTAACTCATCAACGAAACCAATAAACCTAGTAAGATTAAAAAATTCGATTGAACGTCGGAAAACGCCGTTTAAATGCAATACAAATTAATTCGTCGATGGGAACGAATTGAATGGTGTAAAACGCAATTCTCACAAAGTGGGAAAATAATGGTGATAGATTAATGGATTTCTTTTAAACGTTAAAATTTCTCCACAACGTCTTAGATGTTCCGAATACGTTCTCGTTTCAGGTGTATTGTATTGGAAACCTTGAGTCTATGTTTCTTACTAGCTTACATTCATCAATGAGGCATGACATCTTAAGTGCATTGAAAAAAGTAAGGAACCAAGTAGCTGACATCAAAACGCGAAAGAAATTATTTGTACTGCATTCCTGTGTAATTCGCCAATTATTTTAGAAACTACGATTCATTAATCCAAACACTTGACTTTCAGCCGATGTTTTTTTTCAGTCTAGAACTCCGTTTCAATTTGTTTGAATGTAGTAATACACAACAGATGTGGATAACAGTCTATTAATGACTGTCATAAATATGCATTTTTGTAGTATTTATCAGTTTTATCTCGTTTTATGTCAGCTGGTCGAAAAAAGTGCGATTTATCAATATTTATATACGTTTTTTCCTTACAGAAAATATCTCCTCAGGGCGTTTCACAGTTTGTCATGTAACGTGACGTTTAATTATTCTCATGTTACTTTTAATTGTTTCCGGTGCTTTCAGTACTCTTTTTATATATTCATGTATTCAATTAATCTGCATAAAAGGATATATTTGACAATTTAACTATCGATTTTACACATTTCCCATGATGAGTTATCAGTTTTTAATAATACATTTTCGCATCTCTCTTCATTGTCCTTTTGTTTATACAACTTTTCATATGAGCTTTTAGGACACTAATTATTTTAAATGCCTTAAATTTTTATTTGCAATACATCTTATATGAATAATAAATGTCATAAATGTCTGATAATAACAACAACAATAACAGTTTTAACGGCAAATATCCGCTTATTTCGTCTCCAACTATTCCCACTTCAGTCGGTTTAGGAATTACTACTGAGCAGCATGCACATTCTAATGTGATTAATAATGATCTAAACAACTGTACTGATAAGTCGAATTCCTCCATCATCTCATCTGGCACTACTGATATTGGTAGACTATTATCATGTATAACTTCAAATGGAAATTGTTATCCTACATATACTTCAACTCATCCTACAATTCAAACACAATTTTCTAATGATGTGGGAAGTGAAATTTCTATTCATCACCAGAAGCAAAAACAAGAATCACCCGGTGAAAATAATTCATCTACAAATTTATGTGGTTTTAGAATTAAATGTGAAGCAGATGATGGTTTTTCACCGACTGGGAATTTATCCGGACAATCTGCGCCAATCTCTAAGTCATCGTATGAAATGATGTGTAACAATAAACCGACCGCCACTAACTCTACGTTAGAATCTTTCTCAGGGAAAAGTGAGTCATTCGAGGAACATGAAATAGTTGATGACCAGTTTGTTGAAAATCGGAAACTTGTCGAAACGTGTGGATCTTTGCGAGCACATACACAAAGCAATAAAATTATTGGTAATAATGATACAAAGGAATCTATTTCATCACAATCAACGAGATATATACCATGTTCATCAGTAGATCAACTTACACTACCTCAGACTAATTTAAGTAATCCTTTCCATTCAGATAATATTCTTAATCCAGGATGTAATAATCGTATACTGAACAATTCCCCAGTTCGTGTTGTTTCTCAGGGTCGATTAGACAATGATAACGCAAGTGTTAACTCTTCATCAGATTTTACAGCTGATGCGCTTACATTCATTGATACATCATCAACATGTATAAATACATTTGATACAAATGAACGTATGCTTACAGGAACACCTGATTTTTCATGTTTCTTTCCTAATACATTATGTGATCCGCTGACTAAACGTTTTACTTCTAACGGTCATACACCGTGCGCTGGTTTTTCTGTAACTAATCAGGCCGATTCAAAGGTTCTAATAGGTTTGAGTCCTGTATCGAAATCCCATCGTTTGTGTTATCCATATGATACATATGAACCGCTGAAAAGTGATTTCAAAGAACACCCAAATATAAATAATAATAATAATAATAATAGTGTTGACAGAGCTCAACCGAATTCTTCACCGAATAGACTTAAAAATATACTAAACAATACATTTTATGACCGTACTGGTAGTAACAATGGATCTAATTTAGTTACAACGCCTATATCTTCTTGTAATAATGATGAAGCGGTGAACTTAATTACCGACTCTGGTCAAAAGAGTTTTGTAAATTGTAACGAAGTTCAATTACCAGGATTCAGTAGTCCTGAATCAGCTTTCTATCAATATCAAAATAAAATGGAGGGGCAAAAATGTCAAGTATGTGGTGAGTTGGCAGCTGGTTTCCATCATGGAGCATATGTGTGTGAAGCTTGCAAAGTAAGTCCGTATTCATTGTAATTGGTATTTCTTTGGTGTTATTCGTAATTTAGTATCAGTTAAGGAAATCCTTTTTAAAAGAGCAATATATTTTATCTATGGATTAATTGTACGTTTACTATGTAATAACTTCGAACTCCATAGTCTCATGGTCGATTATTAAGTATCTAAAGTATCAATGTCCCATTAATGGGAAAAGATTCTGTATATAACCCTTTAGATATTTCACTGAATAACTATCTCATTAATGCATCATAACAGTTATTAAATTTTGCAAATTCTATACACTAAGTATATTACTACTCTATGTTTTTGTGCTATTGTCTTTTCGTTTGTGTATTTTATTATTCTCCTTCCTTTTAAATTTTTCCCTTGGTAGTTTTGTGTAATGTTCCTTGTTCTTGTGTATCTTCCATCAATATATGAAACACTTGATGACCTCCCACTGTGTACTAAACTTTTCATGTCATAAACCATATAAACATTCCACTGTGGTTTATAGGAGACTACATCCTAACAACTAAGAACAGGTTTGTTTGTGAACCTTTGGTGACTGGAACTATTACTTGGTTGTCCAAACGAAAGTAGTAGTAGGCGGTTCGAACATGTGGTTCTGTTATTTAACCAAAACACTACTCAGGCAATACAAATTCATAATTAATAAAATATCTATTTCATAAATGTTCGATATTTTTAGTTTCTGACCTCATTTATGGTTTATCTGGTTATTGAAATTACTTAAAATATTTTGTTTTATTTAAATTATATAGTAACTTTGCTTAGTTCTCTGCGTAACATATTTAGCAATCCTTTCCATATAATCTACAATCTTATTTAATAGAATTATGGCATTTTCCCTTTGAGTCGAGAATATATTTTTACTTGTTAGCAGTGAAATAGTGTCTGGGCATCAGTGAAGACTAAACATACTTACAAAGACTGATCAATTTAATCTTAATACCGTAGACAGAAAAACGTTTCAAGCTATAGTAACAGTCGATAACAGGCGTTTGAGCCACTGCATTCTAGACCGGAGTTGTAATATAAACCATACATACTAGGAATGTTGTGAAATCCACGTAAGGGGAATTCACATCCCAATTTCCACTGGTAGCCGAATGCAGTTAAAAGGAAAATACATACCTGGCTGATAAGATTTACAACTTCGTCCTAATTTCTTGTTAACACTAACCAGTTAATTGTCATAAATTCGAAGAAACTGCCGGGAAGAATAAGGATTAAAAATATCCTCTTTTTATTCACTTAACATTTATATTGTGCAGTGGTAAGATATGATATTAGTCTATTTCTTAACTCCTACATATGTGTATTCACATAGATATGTTCTGTTTAGGTTCACTTGCCTTCCATGATAATGACCTATAAATTGTAATAAATCCAGTACGCTTCGGTTCAGCACAGCAACAAAAGATCGAATGAATCGAAATAATAGTAGTATCAATGATAGCAAAAGAAAATAAACGTGGACAGTATATTATACGTATGTTTAGTACGTGGTTGACGGTAGAATTCACGTTTTGTCTCGTTTGACACTCGTCAGCTAGATGTACGTACATCTCAGTACTGTTGCCCACAGTGGAACTCAAACCTGCTACCTTTCTCCCCATACGCCTAACTCATTGTTCACTGAATCCTATATAGGACGAAGCGCATATCTTGGATTCCACTGCCAGCTCATATTAAATATCCCAATAACGTGGCAATGCTATATCTAGCCACAAAGGATCAATATAGAAGAGTTGGAAAACCCTGATTCCAAACCAATAGTGAACATGGCTCCAGGATCCTAAGGAAACAAATGACATATGAACCAATCGTTGGTCACCGACTACCATAGGACTGCATCTCCTAACGTTGCTCCACTGCCTTGTAGATCAGATCTTTAAGTCAAAGGCTCCGGGTGTAGCTTTCTAAGAAAACCACCTGCTTCAGTCTGGGCACCCGTGCAGCATCACAGTCCACACACAAATCGAATGACTTGTGTGGCGCATATGTATTCGGTGTCCTTTTGTACTAATATTTGTGATCAAATAATAATGATAATAATAATAGATGTCAGAACTGAAGCAGTTATGTATGAACTACTAGTAGGATATCTAAAAGCTGGTTAACAACTGAGTACATCACACATCGATCCATCCTGTTTGAATGATATACAATTGTGTGCGGTACGAAATGTTGATTCAAATAATAACCTAATTCTACTGTTTTAGCAAATAGAATTCTTTTCGATCATCGTTTTAAATCTGGTTAAATCTCGCTAAAGCTCGGATAAGTTGTGACCGATTTTTGAAGATGTATAGAAATTTTCTATGAATATGCACTTTGTGTCATCATTAGTCGAAACTACAAGAAAATGTTTCAGCTTTCTCCGTCTTCTCGATTGCCAGAAGCAGAAAAAAGTAATGAGCTAATGAAGAAATGAAAATTTTACCATAAGTTTTTGTGTTATTATTCTAAAGTTTCGAGCTGCGTAGCAGATTATACATCAAATAAATTTAATTTATTCTTTTAACTGTAAATTATTTGATATTTGTCTAGGTAGGTGATTTTCTTGATCCGATAAGAAGTTATTAATTACCAGACAGTTTGTATTCGTACATTGAACTTTTTATGACGTCATAACTGTCGAATTTTAGTACTATTTCTAATTGTCTACGTCCATGTAACTGTATAAAGCTACACTTATCTTAACACCTATACCATTTTGTTCAAAACACTTTTGTTGCATTTGCTTCTTAGAAAAAACTTTTTCTTTACAAAGTAGGAATGCTTGACTAATTTAAGTTGTTCTTACATCACTGACAATGTATCGTAAGAATATAATTTATGGACGACCTTTGAGCGACGATGCTGAAGTGACTTTGAGACGACTCACCTATTTACTACAGTCAAAAAGAGTTAATATGAAGAGTTACGGTTACGAATCGAAAGGTTTCTACCACGAACTGAATGAATTTTGCGCCAAAGTGCATGACTTGCCATCCTTAATTTCATTAATTCGTTCATAAATTATAGTCTTACCAATATAATTCCTGATTTTTGTATTTTCAACTTATCACTTTTTACGTTTTCAGGTAAATATTCCGAGTGTGTAAAGATGTTTTTCATCTTTGTAACTCGAACTTTTGATAGTAACTAAAGACTTTCATTTCCAACGAATGTATTTAGTTTATTTGCAAAGCTCAGGTTTTTGTAGCCAAGTTTGAGCCATATGTTTGTATGGAGATTAATTGTACTTCCTGGCTGCACAAGTTAAGCGGGGGTTCAAATCTACTATTAATATCGGTTGAAAACTTTATACTTAAACCATTAAGCCACTATTCTGTCATCGTGAGTACTTTTCAATCCATTTCAACTGCAAGTAGTTGATAAATCTATCTAAAAAATTATTTTATGATTCACAATAGCATACAAATTTTGGTGTGAATCTTTCCAAAATAATTATTTAAAGCTTAATTTTTTGATGAGAAAGTTAATAGTTTTGACCGCTTAATGTATACTCTCATGTGAATCGTTTGAAACAGAGATTATTCTATTTAATTATTACTGAATTTATGTAAATTATTTTATTTAAACACATAAATATTGGTACGAAGGGATACCGAATACATATGCGCCACACAAGTCATTCGATTTGTGTGTGGACTGTGATGCTGCACGGGTGCCCAGACCGAAGCAGGTGGTTTTCTTAGAAAGCTACACCCGGAGCCTTTGACTTAAAGATCTGATCTACAAGGCAGTGGAGCAACGTTAGGAGATGCAGTCCTATGGTAGTCGGTGACCAACGATTGGTTCATATGTCATTTGTTTCCTTAGGATCCTGGAGCCATGTTCACTATTGGTTTGGAATCAGGGTTTTCCAACTCTTCTAGGTTGATCCTTCGTGTCCACCACCAACCCGGTTAAAGCGTCGGACATTCGCTTCTCGTCCTCTCAATGTCGTAATCAACAATAATGCTGCGAGAAGTCAGTGAGTAGGACTTCTCTGGAAGTTTTTGTATGTACGTGTCCATGTCAGAGTATTTCGAGACATAAAGCTGACTCTTCCCACTGTCGATCGTACCAGGGCACTTGGAAGCACTGGATAGCTGTTTCGTTCTGGTACTGAGCTCCATAGATAGTGCACATCCACAACCCGTCTGGGTGTCGTTTTCTGGACATTGATATTGAGATGAGTGGTTAACTTCTAGACCACCGAGTTAGGATCCAATCGCCTACATTCAAAACTTCAACTGACTTGTGATGTTATGCATCCATCTACTACCCATTCGTAAGTAACTGAATCACATCCGCTATTGTCGAACCTCACTGGTCATCAGTTCTCACTGAAACTCAGGGAAGCGCCTTTCGAAATTAGTTACTAGTTACTACATGGTTGTTCTTCGTATGAGGGATTTGTGAGGGTTGTTTAGTTCCATAACTTACGTCACGAATTGTCCTTAGACAACCATTGGATTATAATGGGTTCAAAAAAGTAGTAAAACTGGCCTTTATGTGCATAAAATATGTAATTTTATGCCAAATCCACGTGACCATAAACTTGGTTTCTAGTCTACAGTGAGAAGTTCATATCCGAATCAATGTAAGTTTCCTTACATAATAATTCTATCGGTTCACTTCACATATAAGAAGGAAAATGAATAAAATGACATTCATTAAATAATCATAGGGTTACAACATTTAAAATCTTGTTAAACGAGAAACAAACTACAATCAAGTGTTTTCACTTGATTTTAAGCCATTCTAATCTTGTATGTCATCTCAAAAAATTCAACTAGAAAGCTTTGCATTTGTACGCACACTTTCAACCAATGTCTTTATTAATCAATACAGTGATTTGGTTCACTCAACTTCCTGTAGCTGACAACATTGTATTGTACCATCGGATTGGGTAGTAGCGAAGTAGCATTGGGTCCAATAAGTGAGACGCGTAGTTTAATCAGTCTAAGCATCTGAATAATAATATTACTAGACCTCATGCTTGTGAAGTACGCTAATCTGTACCTAATAATTGAGTTAATAAAAAAATATTTACTTGTAAGCTGAATATTTACAGTGGTAGCTGTCTTTTCTTCCCATCTATTATAAAAGAACACTATAATTCATTGATCTTCTTTCCTATTTGATTTTATGCTAATAAATCAGTGTTATTTTGCTTTGAGTTATGCTGGTGAATAGGGTTTTAATGTCTGTAGAATAATTTTGTCCAACCATATTTTTTTGTTTTCAGTCTTTTTTTTTACATTTCTTATCACTACTTACTGCTTGATTTTTTCCTAGTTTTCCTTCATTTAACAATGTTCTCTTCTTGTCAACTTACTGTCCTATTTTTCTCTCCAAGGTTGCGTCACAGGATTTTTCAGATTAATGAATCACCTACTTGATCTATGTTGGTTGAAACATGACCGAATTTGGGAACTGCACATACCATCGATCACATTTAAAGATATTTTCACCATATGTAATTTCACCAACATACTTATCTTTTGTAAAATTCTGACTTCCAGTTCTTGTATTTTTATTCTTCATTCAGTTTCCTTTGTACTGCTTAACCACTTTGATTCTATGGAGGCTTTTCTCTTTATACCATTTCATTATCACTCTAATTTTTAATTAGCATTACTTTCCCTAACTTCATACTTAAGTCTGAGACGAGAATGCCAGTGGCTAGATAGATGGATGTGATCGAATTACATTCATGTCCGGATTTTTTCCACCAAAGTAAAAATTTTGTCTCCTCCATCAGGTTATAAACACGAATGTTTGTTCGCCGAAATTGAAATGTTTCAAAATTATGGTACTTAGTCATTGGTTGGTTAGTGGTTAAAACTAAAAATTATCAATTTCAAATAAACATGTGCCTGTCTGTTCCATGTCATCATCAATAAACTTTTCTTGTGGTGATTCACTTTCTGTAAAAGACTGTTATCATTATTTACTTAACTAATCAATTAATTATAGCGATTCGGTTATCGTTTTTTGCTTTACCTTTTTCTCTAATTCCGTAGAAATTTTTCATGCGTCATTCGATGGCTGATACAAAACCGACAAATGTCTGTCCAACCGGTGGTAACTGTATAGTGGCTAAAGGTAGTCGTGGGAAATGTCAAATTTGTCGTTACCGTAAATGCTTACTAGTTGGGATGAAAATGAAAGGTGAGTTCTCTATGTAGAGAGAAAGAAATAGGAATTTTATAAATTAGTGTCATTCTTTAAATTGAGCCAATGATAACCACTTTTCTTCAAGCAGATTTCAGATGTTTGTCTTCACACTCTACTTAGTTATAAAGGTTGACTGAATCAGTCTGTCTTAATCAAATTAGAACCTGGCATCAAGGTTGTGTATGTTAATCTAAGTCACCACATCACATTAACTCGACGAGCTGAATAGTGGAGCTGACTAAATCATTGTAATTTATAGTTTATTATTATTATTTAAACGCATATATATTGGTACAAATGGCACCAGATACATATGCGCCACACAAAATAATGAAAGTAGGAAGAGAAGGGATGAAAAGATAAGGCGGACTGAAATGTACAACCAGAAGACTCTTTCAGTTAAGAAAGTTATAACCACTCTTTATGAAGAAAGTAAAAGAAGGTTACAGCAGGTTCGCCACTGGCTTTTATTCTGAGCCATATCTGATAACGTCTCTAGCCACTGTGTTGCACCATCTCTCGGACCCCAGCCAGGGAGTCATGAAGGACCAACAGAAGCTAGCCCTTTGCAGCTTTCTTTCATACCACGACACCATGTCATACACTGACCTTCTCTCCGCTTTTTCCAACCCGTCCCAGAGTCGGCAAATAATGCACGACGTGGAAGTCTCTGGTACGACATTCGTAAAACATGTCCAAGCCACCGAAGTCGGTGTTTCAAGATGGTGACGCCAATTGGATTATCGTCGCTGCGCCCGAACACACGATGCCGGACCTCTGCATTACTAACATGGTGTTGCCACTGTATGTCAGCAATCCTTCGGAGACAACGATGATCGAGCACAGAGAGTCGTCTGACATCCTCAACTCGAAGAGGCCAGGTTTCACAAGCACAGAGCAAAACTGCTCTCACCGACGCGTTGTAGATCCGACCTTTTACAGCCAGACTAACATCACGAATTTGCCAAAGATGGCCCAGATTGGCATAAGCCGCTCTGGCTTTCATTATACGTGCATCAATCTCATCACTCACGCCACCACCAGCACTTATATAGCTACCTAGATACACGAACTTCTCAACTACTTCAATCTGCTCAGCATCCAGGGTGAGTACAGGATGAGAATCCTGCCAGTCTTGTAGGAGTACTTTGCACTTGGAGGGTGCAAAGCACAGGTCGTACCTGTGGACACTGATTGCCGACTGATTAAGTGCGGATTGCATGCCTTGGGCATTATCACACAGTAAGGTCGAGAAGTCGTTCTCCATGCAGCAGATCCACACCGCCATTACTTACATCCATCAGAGCTGTTTCCAGGATGTTGTCGATGGCAAAATTGAAGAGGAATGGTGAGATCGGACAACCCTGTCTAACCCCACTGCTCGAATGGAACAAGGGAGAAAGGTGGTTGTATGCCCTCACTCTGCCTGAGGTGTTCGTATACAGGGCCTTTAAGATGTTAATGAACTTCTCAGGCACACCCTTCTTCAATAGACAATCCCAGAGAACAGTCCTGTCCAACGAATCGAAGGCAGCCCTGATATCAAGAAATACTACGATTGTTGGCCTGCGATAAGTATGACGGTGTTCTAACATTTGGCGGAGGGTGAAGATGTGATCAATGCATCCTAGACCAGAACGAAAACCAGCCTGCTCCTCGCGAGTCAACCGTTCTCGGGTTTTAAACAACCTACGAAGAATGACAGAAGCCAATAGTTTGGACGCAATCGGAAGTAGACTTATCCCTCGATAGTTGTTACAGGAACAACGTGAACCCTTTTTAAAGATAGGGACGACTATTGACTCATTCCATGATGTCGGAACACTTTCTTGCTCCCAAACCTTTGCAAACAACACCGTCAGTTCCTTAGCCAGAAAGTCACCACCATCTTTAAAAAGAGCCGGAGGTAAGTCATCTGGGCCCGGTGATTTGTAGCTCTTCAAGAGTTGGAGTTCCTTGCGGACTCCCGCCTCGTTTGGTAGATCAGTCGTCACCGGCCATGGGGGGCAGGACAAACTGGTTGATGTTGCCGGAGCAGCAGGCCAGTTGAACTGCCCTTCGAGAAACTCCGCCCATCGTCCAAGACGTCGAGAGATGTTAGTGATTGGCATCCCGTCATCCTCGTAGATTGTTTCACTCACACCAGACTTCTTGCTGCCAGTGGCTCGGATGAGTTGGAAGAGCTTCCGGCAGTTACCAGATGCAGCTGCTGCTTCCATCTCATTAGCACGCTCCGACCACCAGGCTTCTCGATCCTTACGCAAGCTTTGCCCAATTTCATTACGTAACAGCCTTCGTTTGTGGTCAAACTCACGGTCACCCGGAGTAGACCGACGGGCTTCCATCAGTTGTAAGGAGCCAGAAGAAACCCAGTGCTTATAAGCGGGACGTTTCACGAAGCTGCAAGCGGCTTTACTCGCCATTTTCATGGCATCGTAAAGATGCAACCAATGCTCATCTATACTTCTCGGTGGGATGATAGCTAGCCTAGAGGCTAGCTCCGCTCGATACTTACTTGCAACAGATGTTGCAGCCAGTTTACTAACATCGATCCGTTGGTGGTGGTCAATCCTTCGGCCACTGAAAAGTAAGGTGAGATTGGCGCATGATCAGACTCCAGATAGGCACTTCAAAAGGAGCGGCAGTCTTGTAAACAACCACGCCAGCGGTAGCTGATCGCTATGTGATCAATCTGAGTCCAGGCTTGAGATGCAGAGGGAGGACGCCAGGTGGCACACCGGCGATCACTGTGCCGGAAGTTAGTGCTAGCCAGAAACAGGTTGTGGTCTGTGCACAGTTGCAGCAAACGGTCCCCGTTATCTGTCCTGCGACCAACAAGTCCACATCGGCCACGTAAACGACTCTCTTCTGTGCCTAGACGCCCGACCTGTGCATTCAAGTCTCCGGCTAATACTATAATATCTGTCGAACGCGCTTTCTGGAGAAGAACAGTTAATTGGTGGTAGAACTCATCCTTGATTACATCAGGGCTGCAATCTGTCGGGGCATAGGCGGAGATGACGAAAAGACACCGTTTCTCACGCCGGTTTCTTCTCACTTTGATGGAACTTTCTAATCTAACAGCACATAACCGACTGTTAATGGGGATCCAATCGATTAGTGCTGCCTCAGCCCTAGCGCTTAGTGCAACACCAACGCCTGCAAGACCAGACGAAGATGCCACAGAGTCCCCGGATAAGCGCACGTGAAACAAGCTTTTCGAAGCGATAGATGGAGAGCGAATTTGTAGTACTTCACTAGAGTCTTGAATACGGGTCTCGGATAGACAACAAACATCAACATTAAGACTTTCTAAAGACATAGCCAGCCCCATCTGTTGTCTGATCTGCATTAGTGTGCGAACGTTGAAGGAAGCCAGCTTGAACGGTGTACGTGGTTTCAGAAAGACTGCTTCAGTATTCATAATCGGTGGAAGCATTCACTTTCTACCAGACAGCGACTAGAGATCGTTTAGATAGGACAGAGTTTCCACCATGGGCGAGCTAGTGCATAAATTGGAAAGGAAGGATACACAATTTGGGAATAAAGGGAGTGAAAAAGCGACGTAGTAAATAATAGTAATAATAATAATGTAAATTGTCTTTCTTCTATTAGGAACGAGAGCAGTGTAGTTAGTGCAGTGCCTCATTTCATGTCATTTGTGTGTGGGCTGTGATACTGCCCGGGTGCCCAAACCGAAGCAGGAATTTATAGTTTAATTCGAGTGATTCAATTAACGTGTCTGTGATGATAACACACTATATAATAAGGTTCTTAACTAGTCACTGTGACATGGATGTCCTAATTTGTTAAACTCTGACTTTAAATATTATTTTATGTCTTCATTTCGGTAATTTCTTTTTATTCATACCCCATGTTCTCCATGTTTATTTCTGTATTATTACTTCGATTCTTTTGCTCATCCTCTTGTTAGTTTCGTTTTGCTGTGCTAATCTAGTGTAGCAAATTGAACTGATGAACATCTAAGGTAGGTGTTACATTTATTACGATTGCCTAATTCACCAATAGTCTTGCTAGTTATGGCTTTAACATTTTAATTGCCAAGCGTTTTGTTAAGGACTTGGCTTACTGACTAAGGCGTTCAACATTCAACCATTATTTATCAGGTCCAAGTCCCACTGCGATCAGATAGTAATACACAAAATATGACTCTAAGCGAACTACTCTGATTTCGTATTTAGTAAGTGATTTACATTAATTATTATTAAAATTCAATCACATGATTGCAATGTTTAATTGCATTATAAATAAGGAACAAGTATTTTTTAAATGTTAATTAATATCTTCATTGTAAAAACAAAGCACTTATTATCAAATGTATAATGAGGTTTATTTATTTTCAAATTAATCAACTCCCTTGAACATTCACTTATCAGTGACAGGATCTAAAAAAACAAATCCTGGTAAATTCGTAGCTGAAGTCAACTGGTTCTCGAATTATGACATTTAATTTCAATGATAACACCAACATGTCTAAACAGTTAGTTAATAGTCAGGCTGAGCGAATGTCAAACCTAACAGTTGTGTAAAAATCTCTTTAGAGGTTTGATATGCTTGAAGCTAAATCGATTCCGCGGTAACGAACGAAAGCCAATGACACAATGACACGATAAGCTATTCTAATCTGTTGTCCCAGGCCCCGCTAACTAGATGAAGTCCAAGGCAAGTAGGGGAATATATATGTATTCCGTAAGCAGCCGAGTACAAGCAATCGAATAAGGGAAAAAGTCAAGCGCATTTATACAGCAACAATTTGTCCTTGAGCATCATTAGTAAATAGCACACACAAAGAAACAATGGACCAATAGCGTCTAAGATAGTTAACAAGTGGGAAATATGACGTGAAGGTAAAAAGAGTGCGTTTGGCGCGAAAACAGCTAAATTCAAATTTTCAAAATAAAATTACAAAACTAAGCCATTTACCAAGTAAGTTCTGGGGATTTGACATTCCCAACAAGGTTGAAAGTACACAT